AAAAAAAAATACAGATTATATTTTATTTGTAAAACTTGAATAATGTCTAGGATATTCTATTATGAGTATGCACAAATATTTTGTAAATTTGTAATTTTATATAGAAAATTAGTTTTGTGAAATGTTTTCATAAAAAGCTTCCAGAGTTAATTTCATTCATATTTTAGAGTATAATCTTACCAGCAGCTTTTGAAGTTGGTCATCCAAGTTCCCAGACTCCTGGCTGAACTGGTCCCGCTCTGTCCGTGCCTCAGTCAGCTCTGAGTGGGCAAGGACCAACTGCTTCTCCAGCTCTTCTATCTGAAAGTACAAAGCGAACCATTCAGTGTCGAAGTTAGTGGCTGGTATAAAATAAAGATGGTCTTTGGAAAATAAATGGCATTATTTGGGGGCAAATAAAAAGTTGGCACTATATTGTTTTTGCAAAGTTTTCTAAAATTAAGATCTATGTTGAATTTAGTGAGGGAAATTAGCCAAAATAAAATAGTTGGTACTGCTGGATTTGGACGCTGGCTGTAATACATCTCTTTCTTAATTCATACTATTCGAGATTTAACTTCTATAAGGACAAGTTCTGTAATGTGCCATTGAAGGAAGCCTGATGTGGCAAAAAGGCATGTTGCAGAGCATGCAGACATGAACGGTATTGTATTCAGAAGAGCTATTTGGTTTCAAAATATTAAAGATTCAGTAATAAAAGGCATCAAATGTATAAGAATAAATGGAAATACAGTTATTAGCTGTTATCATTATTTGATTGTCATTACTTTAGATAAACTTTAATAAGAAAATATTAAACTAATGAGAACATGTTTATAGCTATATAGTGATAGTACTTTGTCATCCACGTTCCAGCAGCAGAAATTTTTTTTGTATCTGCATAAATGCTGTATATTCCTTCTTACTTCTAAGACTTCTAAATCTAATATGCCAAGAATAAAACTTGGTTTGGACAATGTTCTGTGATTAAACCTTCTTAATTAGAGAACATATGAACTGAGACTAACTTTTCCTTCATGACTTTCTAGTTTATTTTTACTTGAACTGAGTTAATTTAAGATCTTCATTTATTAATTCAATACCTATTTAATAATTGTATTATTACACACATACAATATATGTATCTGTCTCTTTAATAAATAAGCATGCATACACAAAAGTTAGATACCCCTACACACACATGTATGGCAAGAAAGGACTCAGGACTATCAGTCTCACATTTAGATACTATAGCGTAGTGTCATAGCCTACAGAGATCAGAATATCGGTTTTAATATTTATATTGGCTATATTTCTAAATTGCCTTTGTACTTGATTATGTGTTACATATAAAAAGCATTTTACAAGAATTGGGAAGTCATAAAATACTAC